AAACAATGCTGTCTAATTACAATACCTTTGGTTGATGTTCAGAAAAAAGGCTGCTCACGCGACCTCGTTTACTGATGCCTCTGAAAACGAGGCCAAACCGCACCGACTGCAAATTGTGCCTAACGCTTTTGTACATTAGGAACCTTTCCGATACCGTCAGCTGTCTTTTCGCACCACCTTTAGTTTGAGTTACACACAGACCGGAGCCGAACACCAGGCGTCAGCCAATGTGACTAAAATACCTACCCCGAAGGCCAGAAACGTTTAGGATCGCCTATTAGATCTCGTGGATTTGCTGGTAAAGCAACTACGTCGGAGAAAATGTTAGGATCTCCGAGACGCGAATGGTCAAACACGTAGCCAAAGTACAGAGTACTGGTGCCAGCCACCAGGTGACGTTTCGTTTAATGCGATCCGGAAGCATATTCGAGTTCAACAAAGCTTAAATTCTTGTGAATGGTAATAATCGCGGGCCGAAAACTACTTTATTCGTGGTTCACTGGCTTCCAGTCAACTAACAAGTGCAACAACCTCCATGGGCTACTCTGGGAGCCTACAGAAGAAAACTATTCCAAAAATCTGTGCCCATGAGCCGGATGGTGGAAAAAATAACTAAGCCAAAAACCAACAAGCGTCATGGCCGCTAGTAAAGACTCGAATGGCGACCAAAACACCATTATCACACCAAGAGAAAGCACCCGCGATGAAAAGTGAAACTCTTAATCACCATTGATGTATAGTAGCATAACGATTGCATCATATATCCCCTACGAACTAAATACCCGTGGATGATGTTGTTCTTGAGGCAGAGTTCGGGCATTCATCTGAAAGATTAGCCGAATAAACCTCTTGTTCCACCGATCGCTTGTAATCCTCCAGTGGTTCGTTGGGCCCGTGTTTTTGCTTGCAGGGTATATCTTATCTGAAGATTTTAAAACGGGTTTGGCCGACATGACCGCTCTGTAAATAAAATTCAGCTAAGTAGATTCGCAAAAAAGTGGACGTACAGCCAACTTTCTGATATTACGCTGTAATCTTTTGATGATTTGTTGTGGATGTGACCGCCTGACCTGGCTGTTCTGGTTGATTCGAAAATCGAAGTGTGAGGTGTCCTTGGGGCCTTCACCAGAAAGTTAGTCCACGACAAGCCTTTATTGGCCAGAAATTACCATCCCAGTCTCTGCCCATAACGGCTCTCGACCGAGTCCCAAGGTACAGCGCGACAAGCATGCCTCGTAACATGATCAGTGAATCTATTTTCAGGATGTGGGCCCTCGTAGTCCGGGTGTTAAGAGCTAAGGCTGTACTTAATCGTAGCCCTTGCTGTCGTAGGTTAAGATCTCACTGACTGACTCGCTGAATTTACACAATTGGCTCAAACAAAATATATAAAAATGTAAAAAAAAACAAGTCCGACCTTAAAAATTGGTTCTACTCAATGGCACTTTGCCGATATATTAAATGGGATTCATGCGTAACTTACAGGAGTCGTTACTGTTGATATAGTAACAGGTGGCGTGCAGTTTGCTTTGAAACAACTCCAAACCAATAATGGCGTAGACTGTGATCACAAAGATGACCAGGAGGCCAATGTGAAACAGAGGCACCATGGCTGTGAATATGGAGTTCAGCACGACCTGAAGACCTGCGCACAGGGGAAGAGAAGGGAATACAAGGAGATTTTAGCGTTCACACGAATCCTCACATCCCCCTTAAAATGAATGGGATCCCTGCTTTTTGACCGTAAATTCATAATGAATGGAATTTTCTTAGTATTACTGGTGGCTGTGGCGGTGCGGGTGCGGGTGGTGCTGGTCGTGGTGATTTTGATAGTAGTGGTCGTGGTGATGGCGATACCTTCATCAAAAAGTAAGTTGCGTTCTCCTTTTCTCTTACAAAACCCGCTTTACAACGCTCCCCTGCAGCTTATTTGTATTTAATCACTGCCAACTTACGCATTTTCTGGGCACACCGTCAGCCCAGTGTGTTTTGCGCGTGAAGTGGCTGATGAGTGGACTGGGAGTCAGAAGGCGACGGCTCTTTCTAATCCCCCGATTGTTTAAATCCTGGTGTGTGTGTGTGTGTGTGTGTGTGT